TGTTCAAATTAGTATTTTGCAGAATTTTCATCAAAACAATTTTCTATATTACAGAATTTTTATATAACCGAAAATTCACTTCATAGAATTTTTATTTGTTCGAATTTTTATTTACTCGAATTTTCATTTAACATAATAGGCATTTTAAAGAATTTTTATTGGGTAGAACTTCATTGCATAGAATTTGGATTAATTGATTTTAAAAATCGCGCAAAAATCTTTCTGTCGATTGAAATTCTGTTAAATGATATTTCGGTTAAGTAAAAATTCTATAGAATGAAAAATTGGTTATATGGAAATTCAATCAAATAATATTTCAAACAAATGAAAATTCATCTCAAAGAAAATTCTGTGCAATGAAATTCTACCCAATAAAAATTCTGTGAAGTAAATTTTCGGTTATATAAAAATTATGTAATATAGAAAATCGTCTTGACGAAAATTCTTATTTTGCAAAATACTAATTCGACCAAATAAAAATTCAGCTCAAAAATAATTATGACAAATGAAATTCCATTAAATGAAAATTCTAACTAATGATTTTTAGAACATAATCGTGCGTCTCTTTAAATCTACCAATATTCAAAAAATTTCTTCTGCTCCTTACCCCATTAGGTCTACTTTTTAATTTCTCCGCGGATTTTATTTGACAGAATTTTTTAATGTCAGATTCTCAAATGAGAATTTAGTTAAATGAAAATTCTCTTGAATTAGAAATGTTTAAACGAAAATTAAATTAAATATATATATAAAAATTCTGTTTAATAAACTTCTTTCAAATAAATATTTTTTTAAGTAAAGAGTTTGTTAATTTAAATTGGCTTCAACAAAAAATTCTCTAAACAAAAACTTATATGTAAATTGTGTGAAATATATAAGATGACATAAAAAAAAATTCAATCACATGAAAGTTAGATTACATAAGAATTGTGTAATATGATAATTCGTGTAAAAAGAAATTCAGATACTAATTCGAAAAAATGTAATAACAAAGCTAAAAGAAAATTTTGTATAATAAAATTCTGTGAAATGAAAATTTTAATTATAATCCACTTTAGAGGTACATTTAATTGAAAATGAATGAATTTTTCAAACAAGTTTTTGTTCAAATAACAAAAATTTCAAATAAAATAGCAATTTTTTTTTCAAATATTTACAGTAAATTAATTTCTTTTTTTTTGTCTACAAAATATATTAAAAAAGATCTATTACGTTGAATTGCAGAGAATCACATTATTTTTCGGGATAGAGGATTTACATATAAAAAAGCTTTTCGTGACTTGATAATCCTTAAATTGTCAGTAAAAATTCTACGGTCACTACGACACCATTTTATCAGGGTGAACTTTAATGCGCACTCAAAAGCCATTTGTTGATTCTGTGGCTTCACATAGGCAAGTGTATTTTTTTTTCCTATTCATTTCAATCTTAAATGGTTTTAAGTGGCTAGAATAATTTTCCAACTTAAATACTATGTATATATAATATATTCTATATATGGAAATAAAAAATTGAAAACAAATTTGTTTTTTTTTTTAAATCCGGGAAACTTTTACCTCAAAAAGAAGTTGTAATTTAGTTCTATAAGAAAACATTTTTTCTTGAGACCAAATAAATTGGACATTTTTGGAAAAATCAAAAAAAAATTGTGTCTATATAATATACAAAAAAGAGTAGTGTATTCTGTTCACGAAGAAAAATGGAAAAACGAATAAAGTAACTTTTACTTAGCTTTAATAGTATAACCCGAACCTTCCGCAATTTATGTCAATTTTTACTCCAGAAATAGTAAAATTTTACTATTTCCAGAATAATTTTTACTATTTCAAAAGTAAATTTTACTATTTCTGGAGTAAAATTTGCCAGAAATGCGCAGAAACTGTGGTCAGTTCAGGTTTCACTTTTAAAGTATAGTACCTACACTGAGAGTCAAAGTGAAATTATACAATCGCACCCCAGGAAAATGCTCATCACAGAAACCTTGCGTGTTATCTGAATTCTCGTATCCATAGAAAGTAAAAAAAAAAAAAGCTGCAAAAAAAAATCAGCTATATATATATTAAAGTGAAATGAGGAAAGGAGCCAAGAAAAAGCACAAGAACGAAACATTGCTTGTGAGAGTGAGAGAGAGAGGGGGAGAGAAATAGTGAGGGTGGAAGAGTAGGACAGAGAAATATTGGTGGAAGGGGTAAGGGTCGGTTCCGTTTATCACCGGCAAGCATACATTTTGCAACGTCGTGATATAGAACTCGCCTTCTTGCGACACAGCGCACAACGTCGTTAAGGGACGCGCGCTAGGCTGCCAGCGACGAGGGTACACTACACAACAGTCTTACCACTCACAACCTACTCTACTTGACATAAGCTACCTGAAAAATATTCTAAGGCTAGAAATGAAAATTCACAAATTTCATAATAAATTCATTGATTTTTATTTTCTCAATGAATTTCATGGAGAATTTGTCTTTATTCTTTTAACACCAAATTAAAAAAAAAAAAAAAAATTTTAATCAAAAAATAATTGTTTTAGTTGATTTCTATACAATTAGAAAAAAAAACTCTTCGGGCTTTATTTATTCGATATGGAAAAAAAAGGACTAGAAAAGAAAGAAAAAAGCCCTTCCGTACAGAAATACTAAATTTTTTTATATTTTTGTATTTTATTAATAAAATTTCAAAAATATTATAAACCAGATTCCATTTTTATTAATATCAAAAATTAATCTACACAAGAGTTTAAAGAAATCTAAATTAGCGAAACAATAGACTAAAAAAATTATTTAAGTGGTAACACCTCTTAAATTTTTAAAAAATTAAAAAAATTTTATTCAAAATTTTATTACAAAATGGCGTTGATAATTAACGTCATTTAATTACCAAAGTACCAAAATGTCCGAAATGATTACTCGAACACTGTTGCATGAATCGATCTGCATTTTTTTTTTTAAATCTTTATTATTACATTCTCTTTGGAAGTACATATGGATTTTTTAATTAAATGTAAACTTTCTTTTTTATAAACAATTTACTGTTAAATTTTCGGCAAAAAATCGATTAATTTACTTAAAAAGTGCGTTATTTTAACAAAAATTAAAAATAAAAAAAACCCATATGTACTTCCAAAGCCTATTGTGTATATATAGATTATAAAATTTGTTGATTTTTTGTTCTAGATCTTAAACTTTTTAAGAAAACATTCCGCCCATTTTGGAAATTATGGTGTTTTGGTAATTAAATAACATTCAATTATCGACGCAATTTTGTAATAAAATTTTGAATAAAAAATTTTTTTTCATACTTTAATATGTATTTAATAAACCCTCTAAATAGAAATCCTATACCTTTTTTCATTTTCCCAAAATAAATTATCAAAGATACGTCTTTTTTTCTGCCTCTAAAGTGATGTTACCCCTTAATTAAAATAATCGATTACTTGACTATTATCAATTAAACATTTTCCAAATAATTTTTGAGTCAATTAAGAAAGAAATTATTGGTTTAAATACAGTTTATTTGATTCAAAAAAATATTTATTTGATAAATAGTCAAGTAAGCGATTATTTGAATCAAATAGAATTTTTTTTCAAAGTACTTAATAAATTTTGTTATAAGTATAGGTAAAGTATAAAATAATTGTTTATTATGAAAATAATAATAATTAAAAAAATTGATAACTTTTATTTCATCAAAAATTAAATGAAATTCTAATTTTATTTTTTAAAATTGTAAATTTTATGAATTAATATATATATATGTACTTATTATGAAAATTTTGATTACAAACATTTTTAATGAATCTATTTTATATATCTCGTAGTTTATTAATTATTCTTAACATAATAATAATAATAACAATACATACTGTCTTAGAAAAAATATTCTTAGAATTTAATTAATTATTCAAAGAAGATTATATACAAAATATTGATTATGAGAAATATAAAATTATTCTTTATGTTGTATATTTTAGATACAACGATTTTTTTCTAACGCATTGATGCAGAAAATAGAAATATTCAAATATAGTATAAAGAAAAAAAAGTGATAAGTAAATAATGACAGCTATCAAAGGAACGTTCTAGTTCCAGAATATTAATACACATTTTTCTAAATTTAGATCAATCTATGAGAAATATTAGACAAAAGACGTCATCATGTGCCACATATTTCATTGGAATGTGCGAAAAATTAATGTAAAAAAGTAAAAAATGTAAATTAAATTTTTAAACTAAATTTCCTTCTAGATTGCATATTTCAACATAATTTAAAACAGTTTACATCTATTTGGAAACAATAATTAAAAAAGGGTTTGAATTTTTAAAAAATATATAAATTTTTTTTTAACAACTAATTTTTGTAATTATTATAACTTGTTTGTAAAAAAAATAAAGTTTCATTTAAATTCATTTTTTTTTTAGTATACAAACAATATCTACCGCCTAAAGTAAAATAAAAGTGTAAACAACAATGTTTGTATTGTCGCTTATGTATCTTTTTACTTTGTACGATAGAATTGAATGTAAGATAAGTTAATAATAAAAACAATAAGATTTAGACAATTAAATGACAATAAAATTTCTCTAAAGTTTTGAAATCAAAAAAAATTTTCTCTTCAGAGTGTCTAAAAAAATATAAAAATTAAAATAATTACCAAGATACAAAATTAAAATAATAAAAAGACGAAATATAGCAAAAAAAATTAAAAAATAATTGACAAAACTAAACATATAATAAGTCAAAAATAACAAAATGTGACAACAATAGATAAAAAAATGCAAAAAATTAAAAATAACAAAATTTGACAAAAAAATACGAAAAAATGTAAATAAAATAACCAAAAACAAAAATATACATAAAAATAATAAAACATAATAAATTAAAAATAACAAATTACAAAAAAAAAATTATAAACATATAACTTCAATAATTTATTCTCATAATTGTCATAGAAAAAAACATAAAAAAAAAATATGTTATTCATTAAAAAACATATCACTAACCTTAGCCTACAAATCATATATTGTATATGTATATTTTGGACGATATAATCTATCGGAAATACATGTGATTTTAAAAATTTCGAACACTCCCGAAACCACGTGTTTAATATTAAGAAACAAAATACTTTCTCTAAAGGAATCAGATGTTAACAATTTCGAACACTCCCGGAACAAAAAATTTACTAAAATGCCAAAAAAAAAAATTTCCAAAAGACCACAATTTTTTTATTCACAAATTAAAGAAAAAAAATTAGAACACTCTCGAAGCTATAAAAATTAATTAAATTACGATACCTAAAGAAAAATAAAATATATTTAATATTGTTTTAAAATTAAAAAATTAACAGTCACGCTAACAACGTCTAAACAGGTTAATACACGAATTGCAACTGATTTTATTATCTTTGAGATTTTCATCAATATTGTTATGACCTTTAGCTTAAGGCACCTTTTGTACTCAAATGAAAACATACAACTCGGTATGCGAAGGTATAATAAAGATAATTTGAAAATTGCTTCAAATACTCGGAAATTATAATTTTCAAAGTATAAAATTATTTAATTTAATATACAGGGTTGATTTTTACGTTTCGGATCCCTTACATTCTTTTGTTAACTTAAAATTTTTTTTTATTAAGGTGAGGCACCACCCCCATATTTGATTCACTTTAATTTAAATTATTAAACGAGGTAATATTTTTCTCTTCCATCATTTGGTTTCTAAAAACATACAGGACGGTCAAAAAAAAAATAAAATTTTAATTTTTAACCATTTTAGAAATTAAAGTATTAAAAAAAAATAAAATAAAAATTTAAAAATTAAATAATATCAATAAATTAAAAATTATTCTTTCACAATTATGACTATTTTCATTGTCAAATTTTTTCCACACTTTTTTTAATGATACTTTAGAATCTCTCGCATGAATTTTCAAAAATACATATTAATTTTTTCAAAAAATAAAAATTCTTTAATAGTCAAAAATTAAAATTTTCTTTTTTTGACCACCTATGTTTTTTGGGACCCAAATGATGCAAGAAAAAAAATAAAACCTCGTTTAATAATTTAAATTTAAGTGGATCAAAATTTAGGGGTGATGCCTTCTCTTAACCCCTTCACTGTTATTGACCTCTATAGAGGCGTAAAAATGTCGTGCCACCAGTGTGTATGACCGCTGTAGTAGCATCTAAAAAAAAAAAATAAGTAGACACAGTACGATAAACTTGTCAATGGGTATTCTTAGGTTTTTTGGGAGTCGCTGATTACGAATCCGATGTCAGATTTCCAAAATTCAAAATGGCGGATAACAAAATTGGAAATTGATCGGATTTACTAAAAACTTGTTACTCGGGGATTTTTTGGATCGCTGATTACAAATCCAATGTTACTTTTTCAAAATTCAAAATGGCGGATCCAATATGGCGACCAAAAAAATTTTTTAATTTACTAGATTTGTCTAAAACTTGTTACTAGGGAGTTTTCGAGGTCACTAATTACTAATTTGATATCACTTTTTCAAAATTCAAAATGGCGAATCCAATATGTCGGATGACAAATTTAAAAAATTTAACAAAAATTATTTAATCAACATTTAAAAATGCCTGTAACAAGTTTCAGGTAATTCTAGTGAATTTTAAATTTTTGGTCGCCATATTGGATCCGCCATTTTGAATTTTGGAAATCTGACATCGGATTCGTAATCAGCCACCCAAAAAAACCCCCGAGTAGAAAGTTTTAAGTAAATCCGATGAGTTTTTAATTTTCGTCCGCCATATTGGATCTGATATTTTGAATTTTGAAAATCAACGACCCCAAAAAAATACCTAAAATTCTGTTGGGTGGGAAAAATCTACTAAGCGGCACTGCATATTTAATATTCTTAAATAGAAAATAAAAAATTTAAAAAAAAATTAACTCAAAAATTAGTAATATAAAATTGCAAAAACTGTCATTTATTAAAAAAGTTGTAAATTCAGATGTTCATTACATGAACATTTTGCTTCCTCTTTACGATCAGCAAAAAAATTTGCTTCCTCGTGGAGAAAGCAAAATTTTATTGCCAAAACGTGATTTTGATTTTTTAACTTTCATTAATTCTTTAAATTTACCTCAAATGTATACTTTATATATATATATCAATCGATCCGTCTTGACGTAAGGAATACGATTTTATTATATATACCTGTGTAGAAATTTCCCTACCAGGGCCCTGGTAGTGAATAATAATCTGGTCCCGATCAGGGACTGTTCAGGGCCAGATTAGGGCCACGAGAAAAATGGGGATTTCCTAATCAGGGACACATCAGGCGTAGCGTCACATTCCCGCCCGATCCGACCCCGATCCGAGCCATGGCAAAAATTCTACACGGGTAACCTTAAATTTTTCTATTTAAAAATTTTTTCGAATAAAAAAAATTTGTGGAAAAAAGACGATAAAATTTTTTTTTTTTTGTATTTTTCAAAATCCTTTGGTCAGATTTGAGATATTAATATGATAAATGAGCGTACTAAATTTTATCTAAATCCATTAAAACCTGTTAAAGTTATCTTCTAAACAAAAAAAGGATCCACACACACACACATACATACATCCGGACAATTGATCAGGATCTCATATAACATGTTTCTATAAAGAAAAAAATTTGTTTCCGCCACTTTTAAAAGTTTTATAAACGAAAGGACTACAAAGCTTCCTCCACGAGGAAGCAAAATAAAAATAGTCTCTCAAAATAGGACAACTTAAAGAAATACTGACAAGGCCCTGATAAATTTTTTTCTTAAGTAGTGTATTACACTGAAAAAAAAATTTATTTTATTCAAATACTCGATTACTTGACTATTATCAAATAAATATTTACTTGAACTTGAATTGTATTTGAAAAAAATACCATTTAATTGACTCAATTAAATGGTATTTGACTGGACTAATGGACTATTTGATAATAGTCAAGTAATCGAGTATTTGAATCAAATAAATTTTTTTTTTCAGTGTAGTCGGAAACAGTCTTGTTGGGCACCTTGTTAGTTTGTCTCGAAAGAGACACATTAGAAATAGGGAAATTTGGTCAGTATCCTATCAGGCCTTAATTTAAATTTCTACATGGGAATATTTGGATCATCGAGGATTTCTATTCGGTAAAAGCAAAGGTTAATTTGATTCATTTCTGGAAATATATATATATATTTTTTGTAATTAAAATTTCATGCATCAAAAATTTCTATTTATTTCCCCAATCAAATACACTCTTTTTTTTATATAATAGAGGTTTTAAAGATGAAAATAGGTCTGAAAGTTTAAGTTGACAAAATCGTTTCTCGTATACTTTTCTATATGAACGAGATAACTAAGCATCGATTTAGTTCAAGTTATACAATCGAGATTCAATGGGTAGTATATATTGTAAAACTTTTATATGTATCTAATAATATGTGATATTTCTTAGAATTTGCTTTCGATAATGAATGATGTCAATCGATAATATCTAAGAAACCACAAATGTACAGAAATGAATTCAGGGAAAAACTTCCTATAATAACCATTTATTATTTATTAATCATATCAATCATACAATTAATTCATAAACAGTTTGGTAATTGTAATTTATTTTTCTATCAATAAAATGAAAAAAAAGTAGTCACGTTAGTTTCTAATTTGTCAAGAAAAATTTTCTACAATTGGAAAAAATTAACCATATTATTGATAATTTAGAAAAAAAATGTTATGGGTCAATTAAAAACTGATTAATATTAAATACAGGGTGATTTTTATGTTCCGGACCCCCAAAATATCTTGAAAGGAAATAGTTTTTGAGAAAAATGTTGTATACAAAAGTTGTCGGGTTGAAAAAAATCTATTAAAATGTATAATTAAAAACCGGGCCCAGGGCCTTATGTGGGCCCTACAAACAAAAAAGTAAATTTTTCAAATGGAACCAAGTATTTTCAAACTCAGATTCTTGTAGCCAGTGATTTCCTCTTTTCAGACATGTGGTAACTTGTGGGCCCAAAGTTAAATTTGGGCCCAAAATTCGATTTTTTGTGATTTTAAAGGTGATTTTAGTGTAACTTAGTTCCAAGGGGTTTTCGGGGTCCCTGATTACGAATATGAAGTCAGTTTTTAAAAATTTTCAATAACGGACCCAAAATGACTAATTAAAAATGAAAAAAATTAAGGAAAATTATGAAACTTCTTATTTTAGACTTACTTGCCTGCTAATTGTTAATTCAATGTTACTTTTATTGCTGTTAATTTAGTATCATAAAACTTGGGGTAAAATAATTAATAGATTTTTTCAAATTTTAATATTTAGGGGCTTATAAGGCCCAAAATTAGATTTTCTTTGGTTTTAAAAGTTATTTTAGTGTGACTTAGTTCCAAGGGGTTTTCGGGGTCCCTGATTACGAATTTGAATTCAGTTTTTTAAAATTTTCAATAGTGGGCCCAAAATGACTAATTAAGAAAGAAAAAAATTAAGGGAAATTATAAAATTTTTTATTTTAGACTTGCCTTCTAATTGTTAATACAATATGTTACTTTTATTGCTTTTAACTTAGTATCATAAACCTTGGTGTAAAAAATTAGATTTTTTCAAATTTTAATATTTAGGGGCTTATAAGTCCCAAAACTAGATTTTCAGTAGTTTTAAGAGTTCTTTTGTGTGACTTATTTCCAAGGGGTTTTTTTGTTCCCTGATTATAAATCGGACAACATTTTTTATAAATTCAAAAAAGTGGACCCAAAAAGACTGATTAAAAATGAAAAACTTAAGAAAAATTGTGAAACTTCCTATTTTAATCTTATTTAGCCTGCTGATTGATAATTGCACATTACTTTTACACAACTGAAAATTTAGTTATTTTAAAATGTGAATAGATTAAAATTTAGATCAATTGAATTTAAGATCAGGTTAAGTGTACCGGTTATTCCACACGTCATAATACTTAAAACGTGTCTTTTTTCAATTCTAAATCAGAAAGTTCCCTTAAACTAAATTAATTCTTAAAACCACAGAAGATCCAATCTTGGAACCCATAAGCTCCAAAAATTTAAATTTGAAAAATAAACCAATCTTCCTTTTTGCCCCCAAAGGATAGTAAATTTAGAGCTGTGTAAAAGTAACATTAAGTTAACAAGTAAAATGTTAAATAGGTCTAAAATAATAAATTTCATAATTATCCTTAATTTTTTTTATTTTTAATCAGTCATTTTGGGTCTGCTATTTTGAATTTTTAAAAACTGATTTTAGATTCGTAATCAAGAAGCCCGTAAACCCATCGGAACTAAGTTACACTAAAATGAATTTAAAACGTAATCAGGGAACCTAAGAACCCCTTAGAACTAATTCACACTAAAATCCCCTTTAA